TGTGTGTGTGTGTGTACTCACAGTACATGTGCACTTGATGCAGGGTTTGCCCTCTGGACTGAACTCCTCCTTCTCTTTGTACAGGCGACCCTCAAAGATGCAACCTGCAGGAGACGTTCCACACAACCTTTTAAACACTAATTCATCTTCACTTACATATCTACATTCTCACCATACCAAGGCTCAAATACAGAGCAGTTTTATCAGGAATTCAAGTTTTTGTCATAAAAATATCTGTGTTGTTATTTATAGACCTTAATATTGTATAATTATATGTTTATTTAATTTATTTATCCAGTTTGATAAATGTCTGAAAGCTCATTAAAAACACTAAAATACACAAAGTAATGACTCAAAACTGGACTTAAAGATTCATCTCAGTACAGAAATCTGAGGGTAGTTAATTTAATTCATTCAGAATACATTTTAACGAGGCCACCCACTCATTAAAAACATTAAACACTTTCTTTTATTTTCTTAGAAGTCTGAAAGCAATCAGTAATTTTAAATAAAAACACAAAAATTATGTATTTTATTATAATCAGCAGGTGTATTTGACTATATGGAGACCCACAGAAACGTGACTCAGGCTGCATTTGTACTCACTGGGGCAGGTGGGGCAACACTTCTTGGGGTGGATTTTGGGGTTCTTGCAGTGGACGACACACTGTACCTCCGCCTCCGTGATGACTCCTTCCTGTCACAACCAGGAGGTAAAGAACATCTTCAGTTTGTACATTTTGAAGATTATTTTCTACTCATACCTCTAGCCTGCCCTCCCTCCATGCTTTCCTTCTTTAATTTTCCCGGAATCTGATGCCATTTGGTTCCTCCATTTCTTGCTTCTCAATGTATTTTAATGTTTCCTACCTCAACTTCTTCCTCCCATTTCCATTCTTCCTTGTTGCATTGTTACTTTCTTTCTTTTCACCTGTTCTTTAATCCCTTCTACCTACACGTTTCTTTCCTTCTTGCGTATTTGCTCACTTTCATCCCTCATTTCTCCTTCTGGTTTTCCTTTCTTACTTGGTTACTGCCACTCTCCCTTTTCCCCCTTTCTTTTCTAACTTCTTGCTTCCCCCTTTCCTTTGTTTGTTTCCTGCCTCTTTCCTTCCCTGTGCCTTCCTTCCTTCCCCTTCCCTTCCTTTTGTTCCTCTCTTCCATTCCTCCTGTGTCTTCTTTACCTTCCTCTAACAACAGCATGTTTGAGTTGTTTCAGATATGAGGTCAGAGGTTTCCACATGACGTCTGAGCTGAAACAACACTGTCTGCTCGCTTCACCTCTCATCTGCTAACACACACACACACACACACACACACACACACACACCTGACAGCGTCTGGTTATGCAGGGTTTGGTGGAGCTGGTCCAGGATACTGAGCTGTTATAAGATCGTCCATCCAACATGCAACCTGAGAGAGAAAGAGAGAGAGTTTTCTTAATTTTCATACAGTGTTTCTGTTTCTTTCTGGTTCTGAGCATTCTTCACTTTAAATTCTTTTTTTATGTATTCATTTTATTTTATATATTTTTTAGGCAACATGTTTTTGAATCAAAATGCCAATAAAACTTAATTACCCTGAAAACTTCAGTAGAGAAAGAAGTGTTTACATTTACCTATTCATTTGTAAAATAATGATAATAATAAATACTGATCTTAACATTGACAAAATGTTTTTGCCACTTGGCATACTCCATATAACACTAACATACAACCTTGTATGTTGATATGGTGAATGTGTTAGCAAACGGTTACTGATTTAAACTTCCAGCAGACACAGAGCAACATTAGCCTTCATTTGGAGTCGAGTTTCTGTGCACAAGATCAATATAAATAATATAAGTCCAATATTCATTCTTATTTTAGTTGTTTTGGTCTCCACCAACTCTTGAGAAGAATATTTGGCTCTTTAGCTGCTTAATTTTCCTTTGTTTGCCTGTCGGGCTTCTGGAAATGTCAACAAGAGCAGGGAGAGTGAAAGAAAGTATGCCTTAAAACCGACAAAAAAATGAAAGATGCTAAAACTCTCTGTAGAGCTGCAGAATCAGGATTCGACCCCTGGTTAATAAAATGATTAACCAATTATTTGATCAATTGTTAAAGGTGCTATAAGCAATAGTTCTTTTTTGTTTAAATAAGTGCTAAATTGCTCTGAATTCTGACAACCATCACTGTTAACATGAATCTCCAAGTCCGTCCTTTCTACAGAAAATCAATTTTCTGGTATCCCCACTTTATTCAACCAGGAGTGGATTTCAGCAGAATTTCAGTGTGGTGACATGGGGAAGAGGGAGGGGACTGCTAACTGCAAGAACAGACAGGAAGTTGCTGAGTTCACTTACAGCAGCTTTAATATAGAAATATGAATAAGTGCACAGTACTACAGAAGTACAAACAGCAGTATACTG